TCTCTCTCTCTCTCTCTCTCTCTCTCGCTTGCTGCTTTGTATCTCTCTTGAAGCACTGAAGCATAATCTGGTGCCTATCAGTTGCCAGCAGCAATAATTGAGGGTGAACTCTACACCCAAACACAGGCCAGTGAAAGCATTCTCATTCATCATCTCAGCTCGGTGACATCCGATGCAGCATTCAGGAGACCGTATTCACTCGGCCCTGCTCTCATTATCGTGAAGAGGGCAGAGAGACAGGAAAAACGGCCAAGAATTTGAAACAGGAGACATTTTAAAAGACAAGAGGGAGGAGAGGATGACAGGAAACTGTAGGAGTCAGACCAGCCACAGATTTAGAGTTGTGCTACTGCAGTCACCCGACATGTAGGACATCTAACCCACAAATTATGGGCATACAAGGCTATCTTCATCTGGTTTTGTATGATGACAGCATTGAGTATCTTCAGTGGCCTCAAAACTTATTCAGACACTTAAAATCTATGTCATTTAATTATACAACAAACCTAAAAGGCATCTACAACCAAAAGATGTTAGAGCTTTTCTCAGAATTAATGCTACGTGTAATCATATTTGCAGTTATTTTTAACTAGCTGGTGTCAAGGTGATTTTTAGTGGCTGCATGAAATCAGTTCCTCTCAAACCCACACAGGACACTGTGAACATGTTCCACTAACATTTAACGACCAGAATGTGGACAAATACCTTCCATACAGTCACGGAAACCTGGAAAAAGCATGTGGGACCAATGTATTTTTCAGGCCTAGAAATGTTATGGGAGTAAATACATCTGAAAATTATTTTTGTAGTTCTGCTCTAAAATATTTCAGCAGCAACCTATTGCTTTTATGTAGAGCTTACAGTACGTGAAGTTAAACCTGCATGCAATGTTCAATTTGTGAGTAAATTGTTTTTTTTGAGGCAGATCATTGTAAATAAATCGGTCAAATTGGTTCACAAAATGGCCTCAATGTTTATAGAATCAATCGGAATTAAAATAACGGCGACACTTAACAATAAGGTCTCATTTGTTAATATTAGTTAATGTATTAACTAATATGAACTAACAATGAACAATATATTTTTACCTTAACTGTTACCTTAACTGTTCCCTGCTGGTGGAATGACCTGCCCAACTCGATCCAAACAGTTTTAGCCATCTTCAAGAACCATCTAAAAGCACATCTCTTCCATCTACACTTGACCCTCTATCACTAGAACTCCGTATTCTATTTCTATTCTATCTACTTGTTTTCTTTTTAATTATTATAAAAATAAAAATAACTTGACTTTGACTTGATTTTTTGAACTTAATATTAACTAAGATTAATAAATGCTATATAAATATTGTTCATGTTAACTAACATAGTTAATTATTTCTAGCAAATTAAACCTTATTGTAAAGTATTACCAAAATAACTTTTTTTAAGTAATTTAATGAAATGCTGCATTTTAATTGTGATTTAAGCACCTTTGGTTTAATCTCACTTAAAAGAGAAATACTATTTTAAATGAATTATACTCAAGAAATGTCAATTCATCATGTAAAAATGACTGTAAAAATGTCTTGCCAAAAATCTAGAAAATATAATTAAAATAAGATTAATTATAAGTCAAATATATTGTGCAATATGAATAAAATGAAACTGACTAGGTAACACCAACAAATTTTTTTTTTTTTAAAGATTTTCCTATTGACTACAGTATATTTGAACTATATTTAGAGTTACGGATATGACTGTCAATGGTTATTAATAATGCATGGATAAGCAGCTCTTTTCAGGTGCCTTTAACTATCTATATACGAACATATAACAAGAGATAAGATCAACCAATTTGCATGAAGAATTACTGACATTTACAAAGGTATCAATGTAACAAGCAAGAACACACTGTCACACGTGTAGCAGCAGTCAGGAGACACACACACAGGTCCCAGCAGTGTTTAAATAGATGGAGTCAATGAGAGGCTGCCCTTTACTGCCACCGACCAGAGCAAGTCGTTCTGACCTCTCTCTCTGTTTCTCTCCTACTCTCCTAGTGATTAGCATTATAAACCACAGGACAAAAATACCCAAGAGAGGCTGCGAGACTTCAGACATCCAGAGAGACATTATTTGTAAGACGCTGGTCTAATTTTGAAGAACATCTCCGGAGGAAAAACACTACAGAAAGCACAACAATGTCTTTACCGAATAAAGAGACAATAATTAGGAGGTTGCATCATCTCTGTGAAAACAGCAGCTGCAGAAAGAGAGATAGAGGGTGTAAAACCACAGTAAATTACGGGAAACAAATGTGTTTGTTTCTAAAGGAACTGGGGGCCAAGCCATAAACACCTGAAACCACAGTCCAGAGGAAGCGGTCATTCTGTTCTCAAACTGTTTGTGCTGGCAAGCAGGTCCGCTAACTCACAACAAGATGTATTCCAGAACTGCATAAAGGCTGGCGGGATCGTTTCACTACGCGGTCGGTCCAGAGGGCTTTTATTCACAAGAAAAATGGGCCGTCTGTTTGTTGGTGAGTTGGCTGTCTGGCTGGCTCTGAGAGGCTGAAACTGGTTAAGGTGACGTTGTGCTTTTTCTGGTGAAAGTGCTCTCTACTGCACTGCCCGTGTCATTCTGACATTTTCTCGATGGGGGTAAAAGAGTGCCTAGGAGGAGGGCTTCGTCTCTTCAGCAGCATACTGATAATTGCTTTCTGGTCACCGTAACATGACCAGGATAAATAGAGAGCAAGGTTTAAATGTATTCGCTCTTTGCTTTGCTCCGTTTTTTGCTTTCTTTTGCCTCCCATGGCAAGGAAAAATCTATCCACTTCATTTATGAGTCTAGGGCAATGAGTACTTCTCCAAGAACAATTTGTATGCTCTTTCACAGCTCAGAAGACTTAATGGAGTTTTTAGCTGCACTTCATTTATATAGCAATTTTGTCTGAAGTTTTCTCAAAATTCTTGAGAAGAAAAAAATGAAAATAGATGCAAATTACACAATTTTTGAGACTATACAGAGGCTGAAAATGAATGGTAATGGCTCAGATCATTTGGTCTGGAAAGAACTAGATGAGAAATGTTCAAAAATGACCAGTTTTGATACACTTACCAAAAACCTTGGGATCAGTAAGATTAATTAAAACAAAACAAAAACAAAAAAATAAGTGACAGTAAAGACATTTACAATAATATAAAAGATTTCTATTTAAAAAATGCTGTTCTTTTTATCTTTCTATTCATTTAAGAATTCTCCAAAATATTAAGCAGCAGAACAGATTTCAACATGGATAATAAAAAGAAATGGGTCACACTTTATTTCAAGGTCCAAATCTTGAAATTAACAAACCTACGTTTTTTGCTTCAATAAACTACTAATTTGCTCCTTATTAATAGTTAGCAAGGTAGTTGTTAAGTTTAGGTATTGGGTAGGATTAGGGATGTAGAATATGGCCATGCAGAACATGTGCTTTATAAGTACTTATAAACAGCCAATATGTTAATAATAGGCATGCTAATAAGCAACTACTTAAAAGTGAGAATACTTATACTAAAGTGTTACCAAGAAATGTTTCTTGAGTGCAGAATCAGCATATTAGAATGAGTTCTGAAGGGATAATGTGATACCAGCATCTTTGCCATCACAGGAATAAATTAGGATGGATGGATGGATATGCACAGACCCCAAACTTTTCAACAGTAGCGAATCTTTTCAAATCTGAGCATCGGCTGCTCATAGTGGAAAAAGGGGCTGTTAGTTTGCTGACAAGGGTAACATTACAGAAGTGTTAACTGCACCACTGAGAGTTTCAGAGGCTCCATAAAGAAATAGGCAGGTGTTGAGACTCCTACCCCTAAACACCTGCCGAACACAAACATATCAATACACACACTCAACAGCACACAAACACACACTGACAAGAACTGAAAAAGCAAGAGAAACACATCACAGGCATGTCTGGATACAGACAGGGTGTGAGAATGCAACTCTAAAACACCTGTCCAGCATAGACACGTACACGCAACACACCAGATGTACATTGATGTCCATGGATGACACAAACGGAGGACAAATGGGGAAAATGAATGCTAAAACTGCTGAGCACCTGACTAGGAAACCTCCTCAGCACTATAAAAAAAATATTATTTTTATTACTATTACTATTGCAATTATGCTTGGTGCTGCTAATGGAAAAAGATGACACACTTCACCTTTAAACTGTGGGTATACACACCCTGTATGAGAAACTGGGCTTCTTGGTTTTGGTTCTGCAGTCGTTTCTGGGTCTGGACCTGGTTGTCCAACTGCAGAATCTGTTCTTTTGTTGCATCAAGACATGACTTCAAGTTTGGCACCTCCTCTTGCAGCCTCTTCAGCTCCACCTGCAACCCGACCACTTGCTGCTTCAGACGAGCACACTCTAAAAAAGAATACATTTGTGAAAGTGGTCAGAGAGAGAGGAATCTGCATTTTTTGCTTGTTTTGTGTGTGTGTGTGTGTGTGTGTGTGTGTGTGTGTGTGTGTTTTAGCTTTCATTTTATGCAAAAGTGCAGCA